CTGCAAGATCCACATTAAAAGCTGGGTTCGGTAGCGGAACGGATGTCAAACCTCTTGGTCTTGAGTGCTCAGTGGTTCGTCTGCATCTGACATTACGGAAACTTCTTGATGTATTCCGATGGTCAATTGAGTCTGCACCCCGTATTGATTAAACACATGCGAAAATAAAATTTAGATCAGAAGAACCTTTTGCGTCTGCGTCTGCGATCTGAGCGTCTGGGGATGAACCATGTAGAACGCATTGCCGAAGAGATGTGCAGTAGGGCTTGCAGTTCCAATTGCTCTGTCTGTTCCACGTCCTCTCACGATATGCCGAGTATTTAAGGTACACATGAACGATACAGCATATACTAGAATAGAAACAAAGGTTAGCACAAAATCGGCCAAGCGAAATATAGCCCACGTTTGCTCAGAACAAAATAGAAGGCCATAAACAGGAAATTCGTTGGATACAGATCGTACTGTCCATACGGTCAGGACGTGTTTCGCTGATTTCTATTTCTTGGACTCACCAATACTAACGTTGTGATGCTGATGGTACTATAAATATGTTCGGATCAGCCTCTAGCATACGACTTTCTCCCACCAACCTTGTCAGAACGCCCGTGTTGATGGCATAGACCGTGAGTCTGTTGACAACAGAGTCCGAACTGATCATCGACTCAATATGAGTATTGACAGCTCAGGACGTAGAATGGCTCACCTCTTGTAACCCGTTCTTAGCCTCCGCAAGAACAAGGATAAGGAAAACGCAATGATGATATCAGTCAGGGCCCCAGCGCCCAGCGAAAGCGAAGCCAAAGTCTGTAACCAGAAATAGAATCGCTACGGCATTCGGAACTGACGAGCGCTAACCTTCAAGTTCGAGATGTACGTCAGTTTGTTCAGCTGAAAACTTATCGATCACATGTCAGAACTAGGATGGTTCTGTGAAAAAGAACGACGCCTTACGCTCGTACGGCATATGCTTTTGTTGTCAGGTGGTCAGCACTAGTCTCTTTCAACGGGCCCGAAATTGGAGGTACCTATGGCGAGCCCTGCTCGGAACTCGGCGGTCAGAATGAGCATGAGGGGAATCCTTCTAAAGCGTACCGAGTTGTCCATATGTCAGGAAGAGCTGTATCGAGAAATGAATGTCAAGCGACTATAGATATCTTAGACAACGATGGCCTACAATTAAGCATGTAATGGGAAGATTATGTCCGCTGACTGGGTCTCGTTTAGATACATCCCGAAGAAACAGGACTAGAAATTCTCACATCGCCATACACGCATGGCAAAGCATCTGAAGAAGGAGTCAGTAACCAAGGCATAATTGGGTGCACATGTCGTACGTTTTAACAATAGTACCCACTAAGGCCTAGTGAAAAGATATGAATACTTTGCAAGACCGGTGAAGATTGACAGGTACGTACACCCAAAACTAGTTGAATCTGTTGAGCAGTCTTTGTGAGCCATCGGTGTTCAATATTAGATGAAGAGCATTGCTTACAATAAGCGACCATATCACGTCTCCAAACAACATAACTTGCGGCGACATATAATTTCTAGTGGTCTCTGTCAGTCGAGCGTCATGGTGTAAGATTTGCCACGCACGATATAGTATAATAATACACGCAATGCCCAATAAATGCCTGGTCGACCATTTCTAAAACCCTACATCCGGGAAATCAACGGATCGGCGCGTCATCGCGAAAATCACCTGCATACCATATTGCCGCCACCTGTCCACGAGCAAAATTAACTGCTTGAAGCTTCGGAAGAGGGATGTCGTCGCACCAGAAGTTTATATGCGAGTAAATCGGATGGATACCGTCGAAAATACGAAAAAGCCTGCACACACAGCGCCCCGATTATTGCACAGGACACACCGAACCCGATTAATGCTGCGCCAAGGGTGGAATCGACGCGGATAGGACTAGACATGCTGAGATGGAGGGGAGGATGGGACAGTACCGGAAGGATGGATGGGGAACGGAATGCTGACGACCGACCACAAGTTGCAAGAATCCCCTGCTTATGGAAGTCGCTATATATGAGGCCGTGACATCAGGGTCCGGCAACAATGTATTAAATGCATTTCACATTAATCGAATTCGAGAAACTTTCGGTGACGTCCTCGATGGTAATGAATCCGCGTGTCATAAAGTCTTCGGGGCGTCGGTCATTAAGCACTGAGAGCTGAGAGTGCTTAGTTCCCGAGTCCTGAATACTGCAGCACATACATGAGTCATTGTCCACCGCAAATTTACCAGTTGGGAAGCCGATGCGTAGACGGATCTAGCCCACAGTGACCCAAGTACAACCAACTGGATTCACAGTTCTGGTATGCGAGATGATGCGTGAACCGGGGGCAAAGAAACGCCTCCCCCCGGCTCGTGAGACCCTACGCACACCATACCGAAGAAGAGCAGACAACTGACAAACAAAAATGAATCGAAGCAAGGGAAAAGCCACAGATTCTCCTCTTCCTGACCCGGAATAATTGACTTCTGGAGTCGATAACATATCCGAGGCCTGGATGGTGGGTACAATCTTAAGTTGAGAAAATGCAGGACCACATGCCACATGGCGTGTATCACCGCACTGAATCCGCGTTACGAAAGGTATGTTAGAGTGCCCGAGCGGCTCATGAAACAGTGTAAAATATATCTGGACATTATGCTTTAGGGGTTAAAGTCAGTCGCCGTGCAATTCAGAATTTGCCTTTTTGCGCGCGAAATCTTTCCAGCTGGAGCGTTCCGACTCTGAGACGCGGATTAACCATGGGTACTCAGGTGTGAAAAGATGACTGGATACAGTGACTCACGACATATCTACATGTTTTGGCCGTAAGCTGATGACAAGGCACCCACTCTAACCCCGCACACTTTGAAGGGCGCTGGGAAAACAAAAGATGATCTTGACGCCGCTAAATCCAATGATCTGAGTGCGGGAATCCTAGGCCGGTGGGCGCGCGGTAGAAACAAGAATACATTAACTGCTATAAAGAGTATCTGCATCATGGTGTCGTCAGATTAGAGCAAAAGAAACATGTCAGAAGCAACACACCTAACATATACCTTATTGCTTCTTTATATTCTTCTTCGCGACACTCTTATCGCTCCTCACCCGTGTTGATTTTAGAGCGTTTGTTTTGCGCGATGAAGCTGACGATGGTTTCTTTCGCAGCCCTATCACGATCTTTCCCTTGGATCTTCACTCCCTCCTTACCCAAAGCTAGTCTCGCCTTCTTCTTTGCGAGGCGTCGTGCTACTCGGTCAGCATCGGTGGACTTGACGTGTTTGCGGGCCTCCTTGGTGAGATGAACGAGTCTGTCGCCTAATGAAGGGTCACCAGCGGGTATTGACGGCTTCACTGAGTTCTTCGTTCCCGCGGGGGCGGAAGTAGTGGTACCGCGTCCTCCTGGTAGCGTCTTGCAGCGTTGCACACGCAACTTGCGTTTGGCGAATTTGAGCTTGGCTTCTTCCAACGCCAGAACTTCATCGACACATTGTCGGTCCTGGAGAATCGGTAAGTTATCTGAGCAGATGAAAGATGAAAAGAGACACCCACGGCAAATTGAACGTACGCAAACCCTTTCCCAAGCTGGGATTCCTTGTCTCGAACAATCCGAACCCTGGTCACCCACATTGGCGATTTCTTCACATCTCCATCCTGCTCGTCATTCGCAACTGGCGGTCCACGCTCTCCTGTAACAAGCGTCTCGAAAAACACCCGGAGATCTTCCTCTTTGCTTCCAAAATCCAGATTACCGACAAAAACTGACGACTTGGGATCGCCATCGACCGAGTCACCCCTGGACTCAGAGTTTGTTTTGCCAACGAGATCCACACGAAGAACACGATCCATGAAGGTCGAGCCGTTGCATACGTCAGCCGCTAAGCGCGCCGCTTCGTATGGGTCGAGGGTAGGAGGCAAAGGAGGGAGATTGGATGGTCTGTTTTCTGGCGGAACCGGATGGGCGAAAACGATGTAAGCATTGGTGAGGTCGGCGGAGGAGTGGAAATCATGATTGATGAAAGCGATACGTTTCTTTTGACTCGGTGTCAAGAATTTCTTTTCATCATTTTTTGTAGAGTCATCTTCTTTGTTGTCTCTCCAGGACGAGGCACGATCTTTTGCATGCTCTCTGCCTTGCTTTGTCTTCCCCGGTGTCTTTGTCTTTTTCTCGGAGACATCATCCTCAGGGAGTTTGGACGTGGGAGTCTGAAAAGCGATGGAACGAAAACGAGTGGATTCAATTTTAACATTGGGAACCAGACCGATAATATGTCGGTGTAGCTGTTTAAGCACAGACTGCGCGTATCAATGAGAAAGAGTCGGCATCAAGAGAAGGCATGCAACGCACCTTTTTTTGAGCAGCTTCGATAGATAGATTTCCAACGAAGATCGTGCGTAAATCCCGTTGGTCTTGTGTCTCGTCCGAAGGAACGAATTTATGCTTCTGACTGGCACGACCAGTAGAAGGAGCATTCTGAGCTATCGATTCGTGAACAAGTTTTGAGGGATCTTCGTCTGACTCGGATTCGCCATCCTTCTCAATTTGAACCTCTTTCGCCTTTGCGTAATTATCCTCCAGTTCGTTGTCGTTCTCGTCGTGGTCCTTTGCTTTTTGGGCTGCCTTGCCTTGGTTCGCGGACTCGAATGAAGTGGATTTCAGTCGCTTGGTGGAAATAGTAGATTCTTGTTCGTGTTTACGTTTTTTGGAGGTGACCTCGGCGACTTTACTTTTCGATGGGCCAGATATAAGTGGGGGTTTCGTAGCCTGCTATGGTGTAAGGACAGATGTTGCAGTCAGAGAAGAGCGCTTACATTTGATTGGAATAAGGCATCGAGTTCCGTATCAATATGCTTGCTGCCAGACGATAGAAGCAAAGAATCCAATGACATGGTGAAAATGAAAAGAAAAGTTGGATAGCTGCCGGCCATAGCTTAGTATGGAAGGAGACGGCGTCCTTAACTTCTCTTGTTAGCAAAGTATACACTAACCTTGCAGTGGGCGCTTTAGCGCAGTGGTAGCGCGTATGCTTTGCATAGTGATTTCCTTGAAAAGGTTAATTGCTTACAGAATCTTGTATGAGGTCCAGGGTTCAATCCCCTGAACGTCCATCTTTTTAAATGCGCCTTCATTCTTTCAATTGCGAAATACTATTTTAATTTTTATGTTCTGGTCTTGACTTGCAGGTTTTCGTATTAGAAATGGTGTTAGTTTACTCTCACCACTCCCTGTCGCTGGGTTTTAAAAGGAAGTCTCGACTCTCGTGAGTCTATAAGCACCGTGGGGAAGACACACAACTTATAACTTGGATCGGAGTCATACGTGTGAAATACCATATGATATAATGCTGCACCCCCCTCTGACAGTATCGGTTCATTATACTTGTACTTGTCAAGTCTGATCGTCCTCAACAGCCACGAGATGATGAAAAGCTATGTCATTATAGGGCCCCATGTTCGTCCAAATCATGTGCGTGTGGTTCCGATGGAGTACATACCAGGTCAAAGAAACTCGGCCGCTGGCCATTAGGGCAAACGATTTTACCAATGCCGCGACATCTTCTGCGCAGTATTAAATTTGCATCCACCGTAAGTGATACCGTAACCTATGGTGCTGCCAATCTCCCAAAGGAAATCGCGCGGGAGTTTCGTACACCCATACTTAATATCAGGCCAGCACAAGAGGCTCGCGGAGAACTGGCCTTTCATTAATTCACTAAAGTATGTCCGGCGTTAGTCACTGCGGCAATGGACACAGTCTCTCGTCTTACGCTCACTGCATCGTACAAAGTCAGGAAGCTTCCGCGTTCAAGTAGCGGTGTTATTGGTTTGGCTAGGCTAGTCCATCGGATGTTTTGTCATCTATTCATAGAGGAACGCCATTTGGTCGTCTGGAGTCCCTTTAGGACCCCACGAGAAAAGTATATGGCCGGGATGGTTCCCGTCGGGGAATAAACATGTAAAGACCAGAACATCGTTGCACGATAAATTAAGATTGCGGAACAATAAGCCGGATCTGTAACAAACGAAGAGGACGCGGTATTCAAATTTCAAACGTAGTAGTCGGCCCGCCTCTTCCTGTAGGCAAGCATTCCTTGATCCTTGCATTGAATGACTCCTCGGTGACTCGCCATTACAAGTATTTCAAAACGTCATCGCATGATTGGTGTCAAATGTCACTGATATTATCTTGTCTGCCTCCCCTGGTTCTGGATGATCTCCAAAAACATCAGCACTCCGGTACATTCGCAACGATAGATGTGCGATTCATGATGTTCCTTGTTTGATCTTTACGTAGCTCCGAGGAAGCGCTTCAGTTCCCGTGAAGTTGAAGGCCGATACGGATAAGACTGCCACTGGAATCTATTGTTTCCCGTGATCTTGACTCGGAGATTTTTGGGACCGGAGGTGATCATGAGTATCGAGTAAAGAAGAGCAGATATTCCTTTCCGTACTTTGTACTTGTCTGGGCATTTAGCGTCGACGAATTGAATAAAAGTTCTGCACTTTGGAGTTTAAGCCCGACGTACACGGTGAAGTCGAGCAGCAGACGATTTGAACGAGTACGAAAGACCAAAGCATTGGCCCTATATCATTCTAGATGACCTCCGGAATAAGAGGGTATCGGCGTTTAAATAAAGTACGTGAAATGTTGATAGCGATTAGAGTACTTGGAAGAAGGATAGCTTCAACTTTTTTTAAAAGCTTTGAATATTAATATTGACACGTTGAACACGAAAATGAAATCTCCTCCTAAAATGGAAAGAAATACCACGTGACTATCTCGTGCGCTTTTCTGTCGAGAAGTTATCCCGAAATATCACCTCTTTTCTTCCTCCTTTGATAGGTCACGGTCTGAAGTCTCGCTGAAGCAACTTTACCGAGCAGTCCTAGTATAACACAGCGCTGGGAACCAAAGCTGTCAACTTCCTGTGCTCTCCATCCTACCCATCAACAGCATTCAATATTACTCCAGTTGAACTGTCAAGATAGCTTGATATCTGATACTTCGAGTCATCTACAATGCTATGCGATGACATCCATTACTAGATGGTGCAAATCCAACAGAGATTTGGAATACTCTCTCCTGTGCGCTCGGCGCTGAGCCTTTTCTATTATCCTCCGCGTCTGGCGGTAATTATACGAACATTCGAATATTCGTACCCGTTTGAACTCACCTCCACAATGAGCATCATTCGGAACGATCACCGCGGGCGGTCATTCAACCGCCTTGATGTTTTGTCGGGCGGAGTCGGACCTGAGACCCCCTTAGTTGCGTATATCCTGGCCCCAGAGCATCCGGTATTGCGTTTTTTTCATTTATATCATTTGGGCTGATTGACTGAATTGCTTGGCCTTCTCTAGATCGATCATCGGTGTGACTGAAGGTCCTTTATACCCGGTCATTTAAACTATGAAGTTCCTTACAGATGGTGGCGACGGATCAAAGATCTGTATTTGGCGCGCGTTTTGCACTGGAATAACCGGTCCCGTGGGATGTTAAGTATATAAGTATGATGGGCTCGACTGATATACCCTTAACTCAGTCCAGCCATGCTCCCTCTTTTGCTCTCCATGGTAGCCTCCAGCCATGTAATGGCATCTGTGACCCTTCCCCAGGAACCTTGGTCGATTGGCGGTGACAGCGTATGGAACTCCTTGAACGCGTCCGTCAACGGTCGCCTCATTGCAGGCTCCCCCCTTGCGCAACCTTGCGTTGATGACCCCTACGTCAGCGTTATGTTCAGAGATACAACACGGATACCTAGATGAAGGTACGTGTCAATATCTGCTGTAAGATGTGTACTGTGTTCATCTCGATGGTCAATCGTCTTAGTGTTTCGTTCAAATCGACCAGGTGGCTTCACCAATGCGCAGTGGGAGAGCTGTCAGGCCACTGGTCAACAGTGTCTCCTCGATTACACCAACACGAGTAGTACTAACCCGATAGGGGCGCCCAATAAATGTCAAATGGGCAGCGTATCAAATTATTATGTGAGTGCCTATATAATGTTTGCGAGGGGCAGTTCCTGAATTGCAGCGGTACCAGCTTGATGTGCGTTCTGCGAGGGACGTCTCAGCTGCCTTTCAATTCTCCAAAACGTATAAAATTCCGCTTGTCGTAAAGAATACCGGAGTGAGTCCTGTTCTTTCGGCATCACACCGATGACTCATGATTTGTTCAGCACGATTACAAGGGGCGAAGCAGTGCACCTAACTCTCTCGGAATCTGGGTACGTCTCCATACTAGGCCTACGTACTGAGGCTCATCCAATAAACTTTCCAGACACATAATCTCAAGCATGTATGTGATACTACGTAGTTGAAGGCTGCACAGACGATGAACCTGCATCTAGATCTCGTATAATCATCACTTCGTCCCTGATGGTTGTAAACATCCAAAGTCAGCACGACCTGCGGTGACACTCGGGGTTAGTTTCCTTTACATCCCAACTAGAACTGATGAATTGATCGAAGTGATAGGCTGGTGTCCAATGGTACGAGGCCTATGCCTTCGCGGAAACTAACAACATCACCATCGTTGGAGGTAGGTCTAGATCTCGGAATTACCGCATGTCCTGAATGTCCGCAGGTACCGACAGATCCGTCGGCGCGTCCGGGGGTTGGTTAATGGTTCGAATCTATCATCTCTTACATTGTCGCTCGGAGTTTCACGGTTTTCCAGGGCGGCGGTCACAGCATGCTTTCAAATACAATGGGACTGGGCGTTGATCGTGTGGTACGCGTCATAACTCACTTCTGATCGCTACTATACCTGATCTGTCCACCTTGGCTTTCGTAGCTTCAGTTCAAGGTCGTCACACCAGATGGACGATACAGAATTGCCAATGCGTGTCAAAATCAAGACCTCTTCTACGCGCTCCGTGGAGGTGAGCGCTGACGGCTCTCCTTGCACCGTTGATCGTAAATAACATTCCCGGCGATAGGTGGTGGCGGGACGTTTGGTGTGGTCCTTGAAAGCACCGTGCTGGCATCCCCGCCAGTAAAACTTGAGACAGTCATTGTTGCATTCGATCCGACTGCTAATTCGACTCTCACCGAAGAACTATGGACCATCATGGCTGAGAATTCAGTGCGTTGGGCGGAGGAAGGCTGGGGCGGTATCTCGAACAAAGGTGTTGCCATTTACATCAACCCGCGCCTCGACGCCGGAGCAGCCGCCCGGTCCATGGCTCCGCTGATCAATTTTGGTCAGCAGTTGGTCGCTCAAAAAGTTACCGGTGCGAAAACGCTGGTCACGACTTTCCCAACTTGGTCGTCGTTCTTTACCACGTTTTCCAGCCAATATGTGGCGGTATGATTGCTTTTACCCGTCTAAACATCCGGTTTCTTAATCTTTCGACTTCTCTAGCGCGTCGGAATACCACTAGCGCTGGCCTCCCGGTTAATAAACAAATCCAACTTCGAGACGCCGTCGAGCCAAAGAGAACTAGTGTCCGCACTTACGGCCGCCAACAACGCTACAGGATCAGTGATAATACTTATCTCGGCACCTTCGTCTCACCCAGGTGATGGCCACACTAGCGTAACCGAAGCCTGGAGAGACAGTTTGTTCCACGTTACGCTGGTTTCATCATGGAATTGGGATACCTCGAAGGAAGCAAAGAAGGGTCATTATACATTGGCCAGTCACGCGATTGACCATCTACGGAAAATCACTCCCGACGCAGCCTATGTGGTACGTTTTCATTTTACCACGCATTTGTATGTCGAGGCTGATACATGAGATTCACAGAACGAGGCTGATGTATATGAACCAAATCATGAAGGTCAGTTACCCCTCAGCTGGCATACATGCGAAAGACTAACCTCTGTTGTATTCAGTTGCCTTTTGGGGGTCTAATTACGACAGGCTCTTGGCTATCAAGCACAAGTAGTACGTTTCATCTATCGTTTCTCGATGTCTGCCTCTCAACATATTTTCAGTGATCCTGATAGACTGTTGGAATGCTGGCAATGTGGCAAGTCCTCCCTCCTCTTTCCAGCTTTCAAATCACTGATTGTCCTCCGCGTCTAGTGGGCTGGACACCAGCATCTCCGGTGTACAAATGCTACTTGTAGCCATCTCTCATTTCGAAGCGGCGTTAATC